GGAGGAAGGGTAGAGGGGATTGATATAAACAAATAATTCAAGTTGGAAGATACTGTTTTGATTATCATTTTAATAGAAATGTCAAAGTGATTTGTATTTGGATTGAAAAATTAATAAATATTTATAAAAAAAAAAAAAAAAAAAACATCCCAATTAAAGTGAACCTAAATCAATATTCCTAAAAATTCTGCCTAAAAGCAAAAACTACAAGATGACCACTATTATTTTTATTATTCAGTAAAGCCTTTTCTGTGTCACTCTCTGATTATGTTTCATTTTTTTCTGGGACCTGACATTCCCTGACTTTATAGTTAAGCCAAAGCTATCAAGGGTCCCTCATTTGGAACTAAATCCCTCTGTCCCATTTTACAGCTCAGATGTCCTTCTTTTTGGTCTGGTGTATAGACCTCTATAGAATTGTAGTTTTTAAATGTAAAAAGGGTTTTAAAATACTTTCACCAAACCTCTAAGCTTTTCCAATTGTTATTTTGAAAATTAAGTATAAAAGGGAACACGCACTTGCCAGTTAAACCAATAATTATTTTTGCGTATTAATTCAATAAATAATAATAATAATAAATAAAAAATTATAAATCTAAAATTATAAAATAATAAATAAATAAAATTAATGCAATAAATATGTGTTCAAGTACAATCTCCTAAAGGTGTAAACAATCCGTGCTTAGTCAGTGCAACTAATAGCAAAATAAAGTGACTTGTGCTTCAAATCTTCACCATCATACATGCCGCCCACATGAATATAGGCTGCTTACCAGAACCAAAGACCTTACAACTAAGTCCTAACAGCGCTTAATGAAGAAAAAAAAAAATCTGAGATGGATCAAAGCTCGTGCATCTAGCGGTAATCAATCTCTACTGCGGGTGCTTAGTGCCCCAGTCATAGCTCCGCCATCAGATATCATCCAAGTCACCAAATCCACATGAAACAAGTTGAGGACTCACTCATGGTACAGTATGCACAATAAATTTATTGTAAAAATTGAAGAACTATACTCACAAACATTAAAATTCAAGAAACATGCCAAATACAAAGCATCCTGTGCCCAAGCGGGCGTGATGATGTCACTGCTAAGTGTCTATCCAACGCGTTTCATCCTAATGGACATCATCACTGAGGCAAGGGAGATAGCAGTGAAGTATGACACAGAAGACTCTATACACTCCTAAAATTATCCACCTGACAGCGCTCAACCCCAAAAGTAAATTAGAAATAAATAACACATATGGCCACCATATTATGGAAGACCATCGGCAGCAGCCACCATTTCCCAAGCGGCATATGGGCAAACAGCTAATAAATACAAATAAATAATTAAATGAATAAATTAAGTAATATTCTTAATAAACCTAAATATAATGAATTTAAAAATAGATAAAAATACAAAAATTTATGGATCTTATCGAGAATGCATTACATCATGTATATTCAGCGTCCTCTACAAGAAATCCAAAATATAACAAATTTAAAATAAAAATGGCAAAAACATCCTAAAATTCTGAATAATAATATGGAATAAAAATAATAATGTGCAAAACAGATATAGGTAAAAATACCCTATTTAAATAAAAGGAAATAAATCAAAAGGTATGTGTTCAGTGCCCTCTAGAGTCATTACAAGATTTTAAAATTAGAACAGACCAACACATATACAGTACATATACATCTAGAAAAAGGAGAAACAATTCAGCTGTTGGTAATAAAACAAATACATTAAGTCCTAGTGGGCAAAGGGTTTTAAGCTCAAAAATCCAACGTGTCTCATGTCTTGAAATCTCTCTAACGTTATTACTCTCCCTGAGATGAGAAAACATCAGTTCCAGTCACCTTCAAACTTAGTAGGGGTATGTCCTTTGACAATATACTTTCTGCTATAAAGCATTCCTCTTTTTTATCTTGAAAAGTTGGGAGGTATAGCTAAGCTTCACCAACTGCCATTCCTCTATCTACTGAGCATGCCATTACTGGCCACTAAGACAGTCCCATTGAACACTGGAATGGTAGTTGGGAGAGCTTGGAGGGAGGAAGTCAGGTCCCAATACAAAGTGAATCTAATATGAGAGGAGGACAGATGAAATTTTTGAGTTAAAAAATTGCAAGCAAGTATCTTGGTGTTTGGTGAGGTTATTACTTCAACATTTTGAAATGGAGCACAGATTCACTAATGACCACTGAAATAAAATGAGTTAGGCTTGTATTGCACCAGTGATCACATTTCTGCTATAGTTACAAATAGTTGCAAATCAAAGTATAAGTAGGGTCAAAGCTCTATGGGCCCTATTTCTCCTGTGGTCACTTCATTCTGCACTCCTATAACCCATTTTCAGTCAACAGCAGGCTAAAACCCACTGATGGCAGACATCTCTGAGCCAGTCCAGGCTCTAGAGAACTCCTGACTTTAAAGTCAGGATCCACCAAGATGCCTGGAGTCGCAGCTGGCCCAGTCTCTTAGTAAGTCATTGGGAGCCTGAGCCAGCCGCTATTACCTCCTCCACAGCCCGGTGCTGTGGAGTGGACCAATGCTGCATCCACCTAGGTGAGTATGAGGTTTTTTTTTTTTAGAATCCTGAACTTTTTTCTTTAGTGTCAATTCATATAATTTAGTGTTAGTTCCTTACATTCTCATCTCTGCAGGCTCAGATAAAAAAAAGAAAAGAAAAGAAAGCAGGTCAGATAATAAATCAAACGACAACCTATTATACTTTTTGGTCCAAGTTTATATGGAATCACCAAGACAATATAGCCAATGAATCCCCTGCTACCTCCAAGAGGCTCTCCATTACAGACAGATGCTTCTCATCTCTTCTCAGTTTTGAAATGCCCTTGATTCTACCACTCTTTTTGTTAAATATGTTTATTATTATTATTATTTTTATTAATTATTAATAATAAAGATTTATGCAATAGTATGAAAAGTAGTTCACATAAAGAATTGTGAATACAGCAGGACAGTAGCTATAAAAGTGTGTTAAATTGACAATATCACAAAGTAGATAAATTGAGTAATCACAAAATATGGAATGTGGATATTTGCTTATAGCCACCACATAAAGGATATAGGAGTGGGGACATGTGTCCCATCCCTGCAATTGTCCAAACAGAAGATGCTAGGTGGCATCTAATAATGATTTAAATATATATATATGGACTGATGAAAGTAAGCATGAATGACCTCACTAATGGAACTCCACACTGCTATTATTTTGAACATGCCCCTTTCAATGAGTGATTCAATTACACAGAATCAGCAGCATGCATGTCATGAATGTTGGGTCTGTTGGATTTCTATTACTCTACTACACCTGCTAGGAAATTATTTGCCATGTAGAAATATCATTTCTACCAAAAACAGTGATTGATCAGGTTAGTGATGTCTGACTGCTATTATTTTGAACACAACTGTGTATATATATATATAGTTTGAATACATCAGAATACTTGAAGAGGTCATGCTGCCTTATGCTGAAGAGGAAATGCCCTTGAAATGGGTGTTCCAACAAGACAACGACCCCAAACACACCAGTAAACATGCAACATCTTGGTTCCAGACCAACAAGATTGATGTTATGGAGTGGCCAGCCCAATCCCCGGATCTTAATCCAATAGAAAACTTGTGGGGTGACATAAAAAATGCAGTTTCTGAGGAAAAACCAAGAAATAGAGAAGAACTGTGGAATGTAGTCCAATCATCCTGGGCTGGAATACCTGATGACAGGTGCCAGACGTTGGTTGACTCCATGCAACACAGATGTACAGCAGTTCTCAGAAACAGTGGTTATTCAACTAAATATTCATTAAGTGATTCAAAGGAAAGCAAAATCTTCAAACATTTTTCAGTTTATATAGTGAATGTTTGAGATTGTAAAGAAGAATACAAACACTGCTATTTTTTTTGAACAGTCTCATATTCACTTTTCTTCAATTTTTTTTAGAGGAACAACACAAATTTGATCTATTTTTCTTCATGTTTTGATTTGGAATAGAATGTGTAGTGTTCCCAATACATTTGTGTGGGTGGAAATAAAAGCTATTAGAAGGATTTTGAGCTTTATTCACTTTTTTCCACACTGCTATTATTTTGAACACAACTGTGTATATATATATATATATATATATATATATATATATATATATATATATATACATATACACATCTATATAAATAATGCCTCACAAATTTGTGTGGCATCTTTGCGCAAGGGCCATGCTAATGTCTGTATCAATCCAATTTTAGTATATGTTCTGCTGAAGCGAGGACTCCTACCACTCGTGTCCATAAAATGCTCCAAAAGAATATGCAAAGCTCCTGAATTTTGGGCAATGTTTGCAACAATCTGTTTTTGACTGAGTAGAGCGAAGCTATAAGTCTCTCGAGTGGTTGGCAATACTTGTTATCGCACAAGGAAATGTTTTAGTTTGCTGGAAAATGCCAGTATGGCCTTGTAGACAGTTTCTTTCAGTTATATATCAATATATACCGCAAATTCACACTTTACAGGTTATGACGCAATTACAGTTTTAAACTAGAGTAATGTTCTTATCCTGCTCACCAAAAGTACCAGTCATCTTCCCCTCATCTTCAGCAGAATGACATTGAGCCAGCAGAAAGAGAGACCCTTTTACCTAATTGGTAGAACAACCTACAACCAGAGAACAGGTTCTCCATTACCCAGCTATAGTGGGAGAGACAAGGCCAAGCTAACTAAGATCACCTTACAGCCTGCTCCTGATCAAATAGCGCACACGTGTTGCTATCAATGTCATTCAAGGATAATGGTGGTTCCTGGCTCTCAGTCTACTTGAGAAGATGGACAGGTATCTCATCGCCTCTGTTCTCATGAGGATATCTGCTCATGTATGGCCAAGTCTTATCTGTAGGTCTCACCAGGACTGTGCTAAATGGTCAGTAAAAGTACATCAGCCCTCATGTTTGTTTTAATTGTAGAAGAATAAGGAACACATTTCAAGGATCTAAATTTACCTTCAAATGATGCGTCAGCTTTTGGCCCAGTTCTGCCAGCTGTAAAATCTAAACAAAACGTACTGACGATTGGTGACTCAGCATCCAAATCCAGAAGGAGGAATAGAAAAGAAGACCTTGATGTGTCACAGCAAACCAGAATCAGCCAGGGACTACCGACAATGGGAACAAATGAGGGTCAAAGCTGCCGCAAAAGACACAAGTAGGAGGCAAATATTTGTATAACGAGAACCCAGCAAACACCTACACAATCTCTGCGTTGCTTAAAGCGGAAAAAGCCGCTTTTGGCCACCGTGGTGTACTGCAGCTAATTAATAAGAGAATAATAAGCAGGTCTGAATCAATGGGCAGCAGAACACAAAGGCCAGACATATGTTCAATGAAAAGGGGCTCTGGGGGGGAGCCAAAGTAGATGTCAGCCTAAACCTAAAGTGAATCTGACCTCAACAGTGAAAGCTTTTAACACTGGCCAATACAGTAATTAGCTAAAACGTTGTTACTACTGAGCCCGTTAGCATTCAGATTCATCTGATAATACTTCTGTGTGAATAGTAACATTTTAAACATTTATCTCCATTACTCAATCACATAATAGTGTTGTGAGCTTCTGTTGATATTTGTTTTTCTCTGTTTCAAGCACAGGTAACAGAAAAAGATATTCACGAACTATGACCCAGAATGGAGCTTGCTGAGCCACACCAAGCAAAGAGAAAAATGATTCTCCTGATCCTCAGAGATAGGGGTGCTAGCATAAGAGCTCAACAGTGACCAAATCTATATGTATAGAGAATGCCACACTCCCAGCCGAACTGAAGTTTGAAGACACAAAGGGCAGCCTCAGCCAGCTTCACTCCACAAACTTGGCCCCGCCAAACAACGCCACAAACCACGCAGAGCGAAACACGCCATACACTTTTATTCACACTTCATTCGGGCTGGGAGTGCTAGCATAAGAGCTCAACAGTGACCAAATCTATATGTATACAGAACGCCGCACTCCCAGCCCAACTGAACTGTGAAGACACAAAGGGCGGCGTCAGCCAGCTTCGCTCCACAAACCTGGCCCCGCCAAACAACGCCACAAACCACGCAGAGCGAAACACGCCATACACTTTTATTCACACTTCATTCGGGCTGGGAGTGCTAGCATAAGAGCTCAACAGTGACCAAATCTATATGTATAGAGAACGCCGCACTCTCAGCCCAACTGAAGTGTGAAGACACAAAGGGCAGCCTCAGCCAGCTTCACTCCACAAACCTGGCCCCGCCAAACAACGCCACAAACCACGCAGAGCGAAACGCATCATACACTATTATTCACACTTCAGTCGGGCTGGGAGTGCTAGCATAAGAGCTCAACAGTGACCAAATCTATATGTATAGAATACCGCACTCCCAGCCCAACTGAAGTGTGAAGACACAAAGGGCTGTGTCAGCCAGCTTCGCTCCACAAACCTGGCCCTACCCCACAACGCCAAAAACCACGCAGAACGAAACGCGTCATACACTTTTATTCACACTTCAGTCGGGCTGGGAGTGCTGCATTCTCTATACATACAGAAAAGTGTAGGTTACCCCAACATTTCATATTCCTGTTGTACCATTTACTTGTGCTGTATAATATCCTGTTCTCTTTGTAGTTCTTCCTTTGTGTGAAATACCTAGTGACCCTGCCAGTCCTATTTCAAACTGACCATGCTATTCATGAGAGCACATCCTTCCCAGCATGGTCACAGTTCTGTGGCTGTGCTGGGAGAACTGCCTGCCTGTCCTCCAATGGTCAGACTTGTGCTGACATGCCTGCCAAATCCCCCCCCCGGTGGGAAGATCAGGGGGGAGGCGGCGGGAATGTCAGCACAAGTCTGACCATTGGGAAGATCAGTGTATTGCTATTTCTCTGCTTCCTGCTGATACACCCCCTGTCCTACAGTCACCCCTACCTCTTATGCAGCTGAGAACAGGGGTTATGTGACCACTCATACAAAAAAAAATATTTATAATTTTTTTTTTATTTATATACACGTTTTGCCTTTCATTTATATTTTAACCACTTGTCCTTCTGAGGATTTACCCCTTTTTCTGACCAGGCCATTTTTTGTGTTAAGGCGCTGCATTACTTTGACAATTGCGCGGTCATGCAATGCTGCACCCAAATGAAATGTACGTCCTTTTTCCTCACGAATTGAGCTTTCTTTCGGTGGGTCTTATTTTTTATGCTATAAAAAACAAAAAGACAATTTGAGAAAAAAAAAAGTTTTTGACTTTTTGCTATTAAACATATCCAGTAAAAAAAAAAAAAAAAAATCTAATTGTGGCATAAATTTAGAACAAAATGTATTCTGCTATATGTCTTTGCTAAAAAAAAAAAAAAAAATCCCAATACGTGTAAATTAATGGTTTATGTGAAAGTTATAGCATTTACAAATGGCGGTATAGATAATGGATATTTTTTCTTTAATTTTTTTTTAATTTTTACTAGTAATGGCAGTGGTCAGCAACTTATAGCGGGACTGCGTCGGGCATTCTGATACTGGGGGGGAACCGACTTGGTGTCACTGACATCCCCAGTGACACCGATACATTGATCGGTGCTAAAAAAAAAAAAAAAAAAGCACCAACACTGTACTAATGGCACTGGGCAGGAAGGGGTTAACATGAGGGGAGATCAAAGGGTTAACTGTGTGCTGGGTGTGTTTTACTATGGGGCCGTGTGTTTTGCGCTTCACTGTAAGCACATTGTTTTGTATGGCTGTGCTGTGCACAGCCATCCAAAGCAGTGTGCAGGAGCTGACAGGGAGGAGAACTGTTTTGTTTACAAACAGTTCTTCTCCCCGTCTGAGATGTTTGGCAATCACCGGGCGCTGGTGATTGCCAGCCGCACGCGCCCCTGTGATTTTTTGTGCACCCGTGCCGCCCTGTAGCAATATATCTGCTATAGGGCTGTTGGGAAACGGTTAAGTTGAATAGGTTTTTTTTGTAAAAGGGTGAGGGTTCACATAAACTTTAAATAGATTTTGGATCTATCTAAAGATCAGCCAGCAGCACAAGGAACACTTCACATTGAATGTAAGTACCATCCCTTGTGCTGATTTTTGAAATACAAGTTTAACTAAACAGGCTTTATAGCATGAGTGCACTTTAAAACAAAGTACATTTATCTTTTTAGCTTCCTTCCCCTGGCATAACGTACTTACCTTGATCCAGTGGCTGCATAGCTACTGTTTGCTTACATCCAAGGCTGCAAGTGTCCACTGTCCTGGCAGCATCTGCACCTTGGTGCCCCATAGATCTCTGTGGGGCTGTGTCCCAAGGTTGTTGAAAATTGTAGACAGTCCTATACTAGTCTGTGGGGCTGTAATGTGCAGGTTCGGCAAGGACAGTGAATACCCATGACTGTTGGATCAAGTTAAATATGCATCTGTGGAAAAAGGGTGGGTTAGGTTAGATCATGGGAAGGAGGCAGACAGGATAAGTTTTAAGCTACATTCACATTGGTTACATGGTTAAATAGTTAGTCTGACTGATAAAATAACACAGCAACAGGGTGTGCTCTCAGAATACATGACTGTGTGTGCAGCGCTGCTGGATGAGATTTTTCATCCACAGTTAAAGAACATATATGCCCAAGCATGGGGGCCTGGGGTGGCCAGTTGGTGGATCGTTCCTATGGTTTGTCATGTATATTTTATAATATTTTTTGACACAGATTTCAGTAAAAATACTGTTATATTTATCAACCATTGTTGTTTGCTTTGCAGGAACGCCATTTATTCTGACAGCATCAGGGTGTGTTCTCAGAATATACGTCATTACGTGCAGTGCTGTTGGATGAGATTTCTCACCCGCAATTAAAAAACAGAACATATATGCCCAAGCATGGGGGCCTGGGGTGGTCAATGTGGATTGCTCCTATGCTTCGCATATATATTTTTTACATTTTTTTTGGCAGATATTTTTTTCATCCACATTGATTGGTGTGAATAGAGGAATCTGTTAGGTTCTTTTTTTTGTTCAGTTCACAGACTGAATAAAAAAAAAACAAAAAACAACATTTCATGTATGCTCAACATTAGAAGTGGGTGGATGCAGGGCAGTATATTCTAATGGTGGGCATACCACACACTTTTTTTTTTTTTTTCATTCAGCCCACAGGCTGCATAAAAAAAAAAAAAAAAAAAAAAAGAAGAACATAGTATATATGCCCAACAAGGACCAGCAATGTACTGGCACATCACTGGACTTTGAGTGATTATACAAGGATGGTGCCTGCAACTACACGTGTGTGTGTTCATGTGTGGGCAATATAGCATTTATATTACAGCGCTGCATAAAATAAAAACCAAAACTTTTTTTGTCATTTTCTCTGCGAGGACCGGATATGGCGTCATTATGACGCACTTCCGGTTGGCCACTTCCGGCCTTTGAAGTGCACAACCATGCTGGTGTGCGATCCAGAGGCCATTTTAGTTAAATTTTTTTAATTCTTCCAGTCATTTGTATAGACGTGCACAAACCAACGTCAATCTCCATGGCTTTTTTATATTAAAAAAACAGAGATGTGGGTCTCGTTTTGAGGTATTGTGACATTATACTGTTGTTTCTAACACTACCTATAGTTCTCTATTTTACACCTAAATTGTTTTTATATTGTTGCCAGGTATACCGATCTTCATCTTTTTACCATTATACTATAACGTTTTTTAACACTGGATTTTTTAATACATTTTTTTGTTTTTCATTAAATTGTATCATTTATATAGTTACTTTCTGCATATACGGTTTTATTAACTTCCATGATCCCCTTCCCTTTTTTTGGGCTCGAGGGGAGGGGCTTTGCTATAGGCGGCGCTGACCTCAGACATGTAAAGCAAGACCTGAATTTAGGCTGGCCACAGCTCTGAGGAAAGGGATTCGTCCCCGAAACGCGTCAGCAGGCCGACCACACCATCAGTTGGACACTCTGTCATCCCTGTGGCCATCTCTATGGCCTTATAGGCTTTACATACATGCTATGTTTGTGAGTATATTTTGTCCTTTTACATTTTTAATCAACCTTGGATAATGCACTAGGTGTTTGCGCCACCTGTATGCTTTTTTCCAGTTTGTTGATCTCCCCATCTGAGGAGGGCTGCATCTCCAGAACGTTATCCATAGGCTGTTTATGCATCTGATCCC